CTCAGTCCCTTGGTTAAAAGATCAGCAAGTATTGATTCTGTATCAATATTTTTGATCACAATGTCACCTTTCTTCCCAATATCATTAACAGAAAGATATTTAATTTTCATATGTTTAAACCCACTAGAATGTTTGTTATTCTTTGAAAAGAACACACTGCACTATTATCACGATAAATTGTTAGTAGTCTAGAGATGGAATCAACAATCATAAGTTCTGAAATAAAATTTCTTAGCTATATAGCTTGTGTTGCAACTCCATAACAAGCTACAAATTCAGCTTCTACAGTGAAATAAGTTGTGAGAATTTGTTTAACACTCTTCCATGATATTGCTCCTCCAGCTAACATGAAAATATATCCTGAAAGTGGGTTTTAAATCATCCTGACACCCAGTAAAATCTGAATCTGAGTAACCAATCACCTCAAGACTATCAGTTCTCCTATAAACAAGCATATAAATTTTTGTTCTTTGCAAGTATCTCATAACTTTCTTAACTGCCACCTAATGATCTAACCCTGGTTTAGAAAGATATCTTCCAAGAACACTAACTACAAAAGCAAAGTCAGGCTTGGTACAAACCTGTGCATATATTAAACTGTCAACAACGGTCGCATAAGGTATATTCTTCATATACTCCTTCTCAAGATCATTTTTAGGACATTGACTTAGACTGAATTTACACTTTTCACAACATGTACATCCTCAAACTTACAATTATGCATATTAAATCTTTCTAACACACGATCTATATATGTCATTTGAGAAAGTCCCAACAATCAATGACTCATATCCCGATGAATCTGAATGCCTAACACAAAAGAGGCTTCCCCAAGATATTTCGTGTCAAATGTTTTGTACAACAATTGCTTAATCTTATGAAGTAAGCCCAAATCATTACTTTCAAGTAAAATATCATCAATATAAAGAACAAGAAAAATAAATTTGCTCTCACTGACCTTAAGACATATGCATTGATCCATCTTGTTCTCAACAAAACCAAGAGAACTTACTATCTCATTAAATTTCAAGTATCACTGAAGAGAAGCCTGTTTGAGACCATAGATAGACTTCTTCAATTTGCACACTAATTGTTATTTTTCATTCTCCTTAAAACCCTCAGACTGCATCATATAAACTTCTTCACTAAGCTAACCATTCAAGAAAGTTGTCTTCACATCCATCTAGTGAAGTTCTAAATCAAAATGAGCCACTAATGCTATAATGATCCTAAAAGAATCTTTAGTAGAGACATGTGAGAAAGTTTCATTAAAAGTTATACCTTCCCTCTGGCTATAACCTTTACTACCATTCTAGCCTTAAATTTTTTAATCTTACCTTTGGAGTCCATCTTAGTTTTAAACACTCGTTTGCAGTTAATGGGTTTACATCCTTTAGGAAATTCTACAAGCTCTCACACTTCATCGTGTGCCATAAAATGCATCTTATCTTTCATGACACCTACCCACATATTAGACTGAGGACAAGTAATAGTATTATGATATGTTACATAATCAACAATATCACCAATATCATAATCACTTTCTTCAAGGTAAATATAATATTCATCAGCAATAACATGTCTCCTTGATCTTGCAGACCTTCTCAAGGAAATTTCAACTGCAGGCTCTAAAGGCTAAGGAGCCTCAAGAGGAACAGAAGTTTCAATTGCAGGAACAGGAGGATCAACAACTGGAGCAATAAAATTAACAACAGGAGCAGGTATAATATTCTCTTGCACAACAGGTAAAGAATAGAAATAAATTTGTCTTGCTCATACTCACTAATAAGTTGTGAGCAACTAATATCAGCAACATCAAGCTCCAGAAATTTTGCTTTTAAGGACTCAACAATTTTAGTACCACGTGTAAGACAATAGAACCGGTATCCTTTAGAATGTTCTGGGTAACTTATGAAGCAGCAACGAGTAGTTCTAGGATCAATTTTTTTCTCAAAAGGGTTATAGATTTTGACTTGAATAGGACAACCCCAGACTTGAAAATAGTTAAGGCTTGGTTTCCTATTGGTCCATAATTCAAAAGAAGAATGTATGAAGCCATTTTATTGGTTTCTCCAAAAAGATAATCAGGTAAGTTACATCTACTCATCATGTCTTTAAGGGTGCAATTACGCCTTTCAATCACACCTTCTGCTCGGTACTACCAGACATGGTATATTGGACAACAATTCCACAATCTTGCAAGAACTTGACAAACAGTCCCAAATGCTACCCAGACACGTCATGTTTGTCATAATACTCACCACCATGGTTAGACCTAACAATTTTGATGACTTTTCCTAATTGTTTATATACCTCAATCTTGAAAATTTTAACTTTTCAAGAGCATCGGATTTTTCATTAGTTAAATAAATATATCTATAACAAGAGAAATTATCAATAAATGTAATAAAATATTTATTATCACACAATATACGTGAGTAAAGTCTACTGATGTTAGTGTGAATGATTTCTAAATGATCTAGACTGTGAATTGCACTTTTCTTCTTAGTTTTGGTTAATTCACCCCTAATGCAGTCAACACCTGTTTCAAAATCTCCAAAATCAAGGGGAGGAAGAATATCATTATTTATTAATATTTTTGCTCTTTTTTTTAGAAATGTGACACAAACGTTTATGTCATAGCTGTGAAGATTTTTCTTTAATGAGAGGTCTCTTAGATACAACATTCACAATATTTGAAAGACCATATTCATTATTGACAGTCAAACATATACTATATAGACCATCTGATAAAATACAATGACCAACAATTTTAGAATTTAAAGACAATTGAGTTTTACCATTACTAAAATTAAAACAACATCCAATTTTATCAAGTAAAGTAACTGAAATCAGATTCCGCCTAAATGAAGGTACATAAAAAGTATTTTCTAAAATAAGTTGAAAATCAGTGTCTAAATTCAACCTAACACTTCCTATAAATTCAACATGAACTTCATTATTATTTTCTACTTTAAGTTTGACTTCCCCTTCACTTGGCCTTCATTTGCTTGTGAATCCTTTCTTCTTTATTCTTCTTTTCTAACCAAGACTTGAATCGAGTGCACTCACTTTTCTTATGACCTCGTTTATTGCAAAACTAACACTTGACACCTTTTTAAATGGCAGCCTTAGGACCTCCCACATTTTTACCAGTACCATACCTTTTGAAATCTCAATCATTCTTTGAAGTATTATGATTAGGTTTTTTTTATTATTTTCCTGATACTCACCTTTGAAACTAGATTTATGTTGAAAAATTAACAAGGCAGTTTCAGTCTTTTCTTTTCTAAGTTTTTCTTCCTTAGAATCACACTTGGATATAAGGTTATTTATTGTCCAGGACTCATTTTGGATATTGTAGGTAATTTTAATTTAGCTAAACTCAGAAGGCAAAGAGTTAAGAGTGTGGTGAACAATCAAATCATCAAGAATAACAATTTTGAAGACTTTGAGTTTGGTTTGAACATGAATCATTTTAAAGATATATTCTCTAGCACCACCTATATTGTTATATTTCTTGCTCGTTAATTCATTCATTAGGCCCCCAACTTTAATCTTATTGGATACCTTATATCTCTATCATACAACGATGAAGATCTTCTTGGCATCCTTGGTTTCAGGCAAGCCACTCATAAGGCATTCAGAGATAAACATTTTCATGGCAATCATATTCAGCCTATTAGATTTTTCTCACTTTACATAAATTTCTTTTTCATAAAGAGAACTCTCACTAGTAAGTTTTGCATGTTCATTCTCTTCTAAAACAAAGTCTAAATCAGCAATTCTCAGGAAAAATTCAATATTTTGCTTCCATATCTTATAATTAGAACCAGTCAAAATTTCAATGTTGACATTATTACTATTCACAGCAAAAGAGACCGTTCAAGGCAACGAAAATATAAACAGTTTGAAAAATTGAGCAATAAATAAATAAAATATGCTTTGAACATCATAAGTCATATTTTATTAAGAGAGTCCTAATACGTCACTACAAACTCCCATTTGGCCAGAGAATACAATATGCTATAGGTCATATCTTTCACGAAACTAACTAATGAGAATGCTCAAGTTTTAAAAAATTTATTCCCTTTGAACAGATAAACCTTATAGATTATTGTACTTCTACCACAATGTTTCATGACATCTCCAAATTACAATACACAATAATCCCCTTTGGGCAGGTAATTGTTTATTATAATTTAGAGACCATTCTGTAACAAAAATATGAGAAAAAATTACAAATTTTAATGAATTGACCATTTTGGTGGCAACCATCTATCTTAACTCATAGAATTTTTCAAATCGGGATATTATAACAAATTGTTCATAATTAAGTATCATATGACCAATCAATATGAGACATTAACCAATATGTATCTCGTTAGATCATTTATCATCAATCATTGCATTCAAGTCTCAATTCTATTTTTACTATTAAAATTAAGTAATTTAAATTCACATCTACCATCATTTAATAAATAATATGTAGATCATAAAAAAAATTCATCGTATAAATCATTAGGAACTAAGATTAGAAGTGTACCGATACTCTCTACAAATTATATCAATTCAATTAAAGTTGCATTAACATAAAAAAAATGATTGATTGATATCAAGAATTTGTATGGATAAAACATGCATCTATTCGTCAACAAGACTCAAAAAAAATTAAAAAATAAGTTTAATAGGTTGAACGACTATGATATAATCAAATAAAATAAATTTATCACATGTGTACTGCCTTAAAAGTCCCAACATTACAAGAGGCAATATAAGTTCTCATGGGTACGCCGCCAACTATATGATCGACCCTAGTGGGAATTGAACAGAGAAGATCAAGATCTTATGAGCTATGTTTGAATGCCTCCTATCAAGAAGATCAAGATCTTATATTTTGGGCAATTAAAGGGTCAAACCCACACAGGCCAATATAGAAAAAATTAATTATCAATTAATAGATGTCTAGAAAAAATTCCAACAGTGTTGGAGTTAAATCCATGGCGTGTAGTAGGATGCAGGGAGTGCCGAGGGCTTCTCCATTGAAAGAAGAAATTGGTAGTCCTTACAATCCTCATCCACTATGTGATGATAGCTATTTATTGTCGTCGCTCTCTTCGCTCACTACCAAAGCCATTAGAGCATCATCAGCCTATGGTGATTCCTTTCTCTCCTCTGCCTATGGTCATTTTGGTCTCTTCTCTCCTTGGGACTCCATGCCTTCAGGATGTCGTGGGCGGTGATGGTACAATGACTGTCGGAGTTAAATGTTACTGTTTTTTTTAAATGTTACTCTCAATTAAAAAATAAATATACACTCTTCTCCCTAAACAAATAGCCCATCGGTCCCAAAAAAAAAAAAGAAAAAGAAAAATAAAATTCCATCTCCACCCACTCCAACAGTTATGCTGAATCCCCCACAGTCCCTTACCAGCAACAATCCTTACCATCAAAGACTAACAACCACCATGAGGTGTATTTACAGTGGTGGTGTATTTTCGATATAATTTTTTAGTGGTTTGTGGTTGGGTGTAGACTATATATAGTGGCTGCGGTGATTGGTGGTTGGGTGAATGTGGCTAGGTGGTGGTTGCGGTGGTTAGTGGCTGCGATGGTTAGTGGTTGGGTGATTGTGGCTGGGTGGTGGCTGCGGTGGTTTGCAGCTGGTTGATTGTAGCTGGGTGGTGGTTGGTGGGTGCAATGGTTTATGGTTGGGTGATTATGGTTGAGTGGCGCCTGCGGTGGTTTGTAGCCAGTTGATTGTGGTTGGGTGATTGTAGTTGGGCGGTGGCTGCTGTGGTTTGTAGCTGGTTGATTGTGTCTGGGTGATTAATTAGGTGTTGGTTGCGATGGTTTGTTGTTGGGTGGTGGCATTTGAGCATTTGGCTCAATTGGGCAAAGAGAAAGGAAAAAAAAAATGGTGATCAATAAAGGCTAAGGGTAGAAAAGTAATTTTAAAATTTCTGTCTAATTCATCAGTCAACTTGTTAATTTTGAAACTTGAAGGAGACAAATTATTTAATTTTAAACCAGAGAGACTTGATTGAAACTAGACCCAAAGTTAAAGGGAGTATTTTGTAATTAACCCATGTTTTATATAACATATTTCACAAATTATTTCAATCCACCGTTTTTAGCAACACTGGGATGGTAATAATTTTTGTCAACAGATTAAAGTATTTCAAAAGTTAAATTGATAAAATATTACTGTTTATATATTGTATCAAAAGAAAGATTGATTGAATTGATGCTATTATCTATTAAAAATAGTATACTAAATAACATTAAAATAAAAATGTATTTGGTAGTTTTGCATTTCATTTTCAAATATATTATAATATCATTATTGCCTCATCAAATATTTTTACCTTGGGCCCTCTCTGTTTCCAACTTTAGTACCGTAGGTCCGTAGTCTTACTCTATTTTGTGATTCGATACTGAAAAAACACTTAACTACCATAGACTTATTTTAAATTAAATTGGTTGAATTCAAAATTTCCAAATGGAGTTGTTGGACTAAAGTCCTCAATAGACTTTGATTGTTGAACTTCGAGATAGAGGAGACTCTTAATGATATTTTGTTGAGAGATGAAAAATTTTCAATTATTAATAGTTGTAGTAAGTATGGTGCTAAACATGTAAACATAAGGTGTAATACTGATACTGTGTTGACATATAATATCATTAATTAATAATAAAATATTAAATAAAATTGATAAATCCTATTATTCTAACATATAATTATTAGATGGAGTAATTTTTGACAGTTATTAAAATAATAAAATTTACAAAATCCATCTGATATTATATAACGATGTACCACGCCATATTAAAAACGTCACCGACAAATTGAATATTGGTTGGCCAGACACGGAGACGACCAGCTAAGAGTCGGTGGACTATGGAGGTTTTCTCGCTTGTTTCGCGAAAATTTCACGTGTTTTTTCTTTAAAAAAATCAGAAACTTCTATCCCAAAAAGTCTAACCCAATCTAAAAGTCTAGGGAATAATTAATAAAGTATTTGTTTTTGCTAGAAGGTGTTTAAGTTTATACCGATTATTCCCTCGAACTTAGTGATGGTTACCGTGGCTTGATTAGCGTTTTAGTATATATTTGAAAAACAATGATGACTGATCTTGAAGATGTATGAGAAGAGATTGAACCTGAGATATCTGTTAACAAAGATTACATTTAACCACTAAACCACCTCTAAGGGTTGAATTAATACAATATTTGTTTCTTTCAACTCTTTAAATATGAAGAATAAATATTAAATTTTGATTCACATTTTATTTGATTTGAATTTAAATTTAATTTACCTTTATTATATCATACTTCACGAATACATATTTTAATAGATTATTAATGGATCTTATACCTGAATATATACTTGCATGAGAAAATTAAGTGATCATTCAATGAAATTAATTTGAATAAAAAATTTAAATTGGTAAAATTCAGCTCAATTTAGTTATTACGATTGGAGCGACTAGGATTTCCAAATTAAATTTTCTATTTTTGATTGATAAGAAAATGCACTCCAAAAATAAAATTTAGGGTAAATTATTCTAACACCGCCCTTAGATTGGTCTAATTACAAAGACACCCTCTCGATTTTTTGAAATGTCATTGGCACCTAATATCAGAATTTGTTGGATAACGCCCATTAACGAAAATGATAATTTTACATACTTACCTCTTAATATAAATATTACCAGACTTTTTAACCAAATCATGGTTGGACCAAACCCTTTTCTAATCTCACCTGTGTAAAGTGGGAACCCTAGTTATGAAAATTTGAATAGTCGTAAGTTATTCTCCTATTCTTTTTCTCTAATTGAGCTTCCCTTCGATAGAGAATGAAACCACATGACCCTATTTATCTTGCGTTCTTTTCTTCCAATTATGCCCTAATCCACAGAAAAAATGAGAAGGTTGTCAAGGAAGAAATTCACAGGAAGATGAACAGCCCTCTTTCATTGTTTGTCACACACGGGAGTTGAGGTTAGTCATGGTTTTATACTGATTAGGGATTTTGGATTAGAGCATATAAAACTAAGGCATGTGAGAAATTTATTGTTTTTTACAAAAAAAAAAAAAAACCGTGAAAAAACATTAGCATGAAAGTAGGACTTTTAGAAATTGGATACTGTTGTGTTTTCCGTGAAACTTGTTGTTTTCTTCAAATTTGTTGATCATTTCATTCATCAACATAATAATGTTATTTTGTCTTCAAATGGTGGGTCTAATCTTTCACTAGAAAATACTTTCCCTTTGCATGCATATGGTAATTCCAACCCAAGAATCCCATACATTACACAAAGTCTTCATAATCTTTCCAACCATCATCAATTGGTGGGCCCTACCACTAGCAAAGACTTCCAGTCTTCTTCTGCAATTAGCAAGCTAAGAATTGCTTCTAAAATTTATTGCATAATGGACTCGGACCCATATTCTTATTTATCGAATATTTTTTCCTACAATTTCTAATTTGGCGGATCATGCGTTATTATTGAGTGAGGGGCTCACTTGTATACAATTAATCCCACTTAAATACATGATAGATGATCTATTTAAAAAAATTGAAGAAATCTCACTCTACTATCTTCAATTAGAAATGCAAGTATTAGACCCATTCAAAACCGTTATTATTATTACTATTATCTTAAATTAGAATGCATAATCTTCTACATTTGAACTTGTAATGGATGTGTACAATTGGAATAGTTTGAATGCATTAATCGAAATCACATGTGCAATGTGAAAAACTTATATATTCAAGACGACAATATAAGACATGCAAAATATAGTTGAAGCTGTCAAAGTGTAAATTCCTATAACTAACTTTTTCAATGTAGTATGAGTTGAACTTTTCAATGTTTAAATTGAATGGCCCGTAAAACGGTTTTTTTTTTTTTTTTTTTTTTTTTTTATGGTTGGACGATCGGTGTTCGGACCAATTTACGCATACCTCAACTAATTTCTTTTTCAGTTCAATCAAAAATAGACAATTCATGTTGAGACTAGGATATTTAGAAAGGTTAAATCCCACATTGCTTGACCCAAGGGCTGCCAAAGTCTAAACTTAGAACATCTAATTTTACTGCTCGTATCTGTTATCACTTTAACTACTTTTAGGATAAATGATCCGTCCACCTTTCATTATCGCTGAAGTGAAGAACAAAATGAACATGTGGGCAAGTTGTAGACCCGTTGAATAGCTAAATAAATCACTCAAATTATCCTGAACACGGTTTGTTGACAACCCACCAGCCAACCTTTGTTGATCAACTTCTAGACGTGTCAAGCTTCAACCCCAACACCCCCTCTCCCCCCCTTCTTTCTCACCCACCCAGAAATAAATACAGCAGATATTTTGCCTCAAAAGTAATATAAATAGCTCACATTTGCTCATCTTTTACTTACAAAATCATTGACAAACCAAGGAATCAAAATGAAAATCCCAAGTGCTTCTTTGCTCTCACTTCTCTTTTTCCTCTTCTCAATTTCATGGGCAGCTTCAGCTGATACTAATGAACATTTTCTTCAATGTCTTTCCCTCAAACTTCAAAACTCCACCACAAACCCCCAGGTGATTTACACAGCAAACAACCCTTCATATTCATCTATCCTGCAGTTCTCTATTCAAAACTTGAGGTTTGCTTCACCCGGTACCCCACGACCTTTAGTCATAATTACACCATTGGAGGAATCTCATATTCAGGGAGCTATATATTGTAGCCGAAAACATGGCATAGAAATTAGAGTTCGAAGTGGAGGACATGATTATGAGGGTCTTTCTTTCGTTGCTAAAGTGCCGTTTGCAATCATTGATCTGACCGATATGCGAGCAGTTGATGTGAATGTTGAAGATGGCACAGCGTGGGTTCAGACTGGTGCAAGACTTGGAGAAGTATACTATAACATTGCAAAGAAGAGTAGAACTCTTGGCTTTCCAGCAGGTCTTTGCCCTACCGTGGGCAGTGGTGGACATATCAGTGGTGGAGGCTATGGCTTGTTACTACGTAAATATGGTCTTGCTGCTGATAATGTCATTGATGCTCGATTAGTTGACGTCAATGGTAGAATTCTTGACAGAAAATCCATGGGGGAAGACCTCTTTTGGGCAATCAGAGGAGGTGGAGGTGGTAGTTTC